TGGATGGTGCTGCCGGTGCCCTGAACGATCCACCTCCCCCGTGGTTCCCCTTCTTATTGGGACCTTGGGGGCCATGGCTTTCCCACTTCCTTTTCTTGGCCTCTTCGGCATCTCTCTTCTTCCTCTCCTCCCATTGCTTTTCTCCCTTCAACCCTTGGGCAACCACTTGGCTGAAAGTCATATTGGGCAATTGAGTTGCCCTGTCACGTATCTCCAAGTCCAAGGCCTCCCAAAAATGATTCACCATTCGGTTTTCGTCACAAGCATACTCCGGTATGTGATCAGCAAGGTCTCTGAACTTGTTCTCAAGTTCTTTCACCGTCATGTTACCGCCTTGGGTTAGGAGAGTGTATTCCCTCACCTTGGCGTTTACTTCGAAGTCAGAGTAGTACTGAGCAAAGAATTCTTGTCGAAAATCCTCCCATGTAACAGTTCCGCCATACTTACCCTTGGTTCCATCCCACCATTTGGATGCCAACCCTTCGAGTAACCTTACCGCGATTCTCAGTTTAAAATCGGGGGTGAGGTGCATGTCAAGGGCTGCCTCGTTCAGCCTCTTGATCCACTGGGCGGCAACCGAGATGTCTCCCGTCCCGTCGAACGGTTTGCACCCTAAGTCTCTCGCCTCCTTGATGTATTTGGAGATCCTTGTGACTGGACCTCCATCGCCCCGACTCCCATGCGCTTCCACATGGGTTCTCGAATCACAAAAACTCCTCCCTCTTGGAGCCCCGCCCGAAGGTTGCCCTGCACGGTGCCTTCGGCGTGCCCTCCTTTCTTCGCGCTCCCGATGATACTGTTGGAGCAGCGCTTCGATTCTGGCCAAGGAGCCACTTTCCTCCTCATCACTCACATCGTCATCATCCTCTTCGTAAGGGGTCTCAACTGGCTCAGTCCCCGGCTGGTAAGTTGAGTCCTCATAGGACCAATAGGTCTCACTCTCGGTATCAACGTGGCCATCGCTCACGGTTTGACGTTGGCCTCCACGGCCCCATCCTCTTGATCCCCTAGAGGACCCCCGGCTACCGCGCTCGGACCCACCCGGTGCACGGCCCAACGGGTTCCTCCTAGTGATCCTTCCAATTGGTTCCATTTCTGAAAGAAATTAGAATGAGTCGTTAGACTCGTATCGAGTGTCAAATGACGGACGGGTACTTAAAGACATCCTTCGGCTCAAATCACCGCCATACCAATTGTTAAGGGTACCATCTTAACAATTAGAGGCATTGCAACTCAAGTACCAAAAGTTCTATAAGTACAAAACTTATGCTCATGGTTTTTTTTTTCAAATTCATTTTCAAAAAGAAATTTTGAAGCTTCATTACGATGTTTACGGACTAAGGCTCTGATACCATTTAAATTGTCACGCCCCGGACCTACCCGGACACGTCAACAACCCGCCGTACAGTACGAATAGTCAACCGCAGTCCGACTCCTCCATACTATACAAGGCGTCTTGAATACCATTCACACATAGTACATCCATAAACAAACATAATGTAAAACATTTATTAAAGCAGCGGGAACAATTGATACAAGTGTTCAAGCCACACTTGGCATAATTAGGCATGCAAGCCCCCAAAATAATTATTCAGAAAATATTATCCATGAGCATTATTCATATTGTTTTTTTTTCAAAACTAGAACGGGAGAAGCACGAACCAAGTCTTCTCCTCAGAAACTTCCCGAAGCAGCGGCTGGTGGTAGCAACCTTCAAGTTCTACCTGAAACTGTGAGGTGGCCTCCCCCGTGAAGGGGAGGTCAGTACTTGGAAGCATTTGACAAGTACAATGACAACTATACTAAGTATAATCAAAGTTTAAATCTCTGAGGCCCTCAACTAGGGCATTATTACATTATAGTTAATCCGTTCATTTAATATCAATTCATCATTATTTATCACGGTCTAGAGCCCAGCTCATAATCACCGTTATCTACTACGGTCTAGAGCCCAGCTCATAATCACCGTCATCTACTACGGTCTAGAGCCCAGCTCATAATCACCGTCATCTACTACGGTCTAGAGCCCAGCTCATAATCACCGTCATCTACTACGGTCTAGAGCCCAGCTCATAATCACCGTCATCTACATCGGTCTTGAGCCCGGCTCATAATCACCGATTCCTTATAATTCAAATTCTTAGGATCTAATTCATCCATTTCTCAACTAACATTTCCAACTAATATTTCAATGCTAGTTATTTATTTATTTCAATATAATTCCTTCTTCTTGCATAATTGGCCTTAATATCAAGTATCACTTTCATACCTTCATGGCTTCTCCTCATGGCATCAAAGTATACTATCCCAAATGATATTCATGGTTGGCACAACCATCATACACACATATTCATAACATCTAAACATACACAATTTATTCATAAATTTGTGTATCATGCATACTATAATTTTAATCAATAGTAGTTCTATTTATGCATTATTAATCATCAACAATTCATGCACATCACATTTATATTCACTTAGGAAATCCCATGAAATTAACCCAAAGGTTATAGGTAACATAGTCGGTCATCCTCACCTTAATTAAGCTTAAGCGCGTTCTACGTTTCTTGATTGAACTTTGACCAACTCCGGCGACTTTGACCAACTCCGGCGAACTTTGACCAACTCCAACGAAACTCCGGCGAGGCTCAAAAATACTTTAAATCAAGTTCCTAACAAGGTTTTATCATCACAAAACCCATATCAACACAAATAACCTATAAAAGGTTATTTTCCGGCAAACCGGTCGATTTGGCTTCTAAGTCCGTTTTTGGACTTAGAATCACTTTCCAACCCATCATTCCACACTTAAATCATGTAGAACAATACTAAAGGTCTTTTATATGATATATACCTTATATGCTAGAAGAAAAACAAAGGAAAAGTTATGATAGGGTCATTACCTTAATTTTCACACCCTTTTCCTAGCTTTTTCCTTCTTAAACTTTCTTCTTGGACTCCCTTTAGCTTGAGTTCGGATTTGGGCTATGGAGATGAAGTTTGCAGAGCTCTTCTCTCCTTCTTGGTGTATTTGGGTCGAAATGATGAGGGTAAGGAGGTAGGGGTGGTTCCTTCTTGTCTCATTTAGACGATGAGTGAAGGGAGGGGGCCTACTACATGTCAAAGGTGTCTCCCTCATCCTCTCAATTGTTGTTCAGCCAGTTTGGCACTCATCCAGCCCTCAAGGGTTGACAATTTCGTGGGGTGGCCCCCACCCATGTGGGAGGTCATCCCAATTTGTCCCAACGTGTGCAATTTGCCCCGAAAGTTGTATTTTTCGGACTGTTTTAAGTATATTTTATTTTATCGGATCAAATAAAATATAACACTTGTTCCCAATTCTTAATGGACCTTAGAATCAATATGCATCCCTCACTTTAATTTAGAAGTCTCCGAAATCCCTTTTCGGGCTGTTATCTGATAGGTTGCCGATACTGATAATTTGGCCCCGTTTGACCAACCGGTCAACCCTATGCCATTGTCCTGGCTCAACTAGGGTATCCACCACCATATACATATTATCTAGTCCAAGATCAATATAATATGTGGCCCCGATAATATCGGGCGGTCCCCACTCCCGATGTGGGCCCACGTGCATTTTACTATTCACGCGAAAAAATTAATACAAATTCACAACTTCGTAAATTCACTAAATATTTCATAGGGTTCAATAAATTATTAGCTTAAAGATAAATACATTTGGGGACGGTGTTACAGAAACACACAACATAACAATGCTTTGGTTGCACTATTGGGAAAAAGAACTGCATCAAAAATATAATTCAGTTACACACGTATATATTTACATGCATGTTAAACTAATTATGCACATATATATAAATATTAAATTTACCAAATCTACATCTTCCATTTTGATATCCGGTTTCACGGCTTCCAATGCCAGAACCATTCCTTCTTTAAACACTTCATACGCTTGGTCTTCAGGGAGTGGGTTATCCATTGTGTACAACTACAAACAAATGCACATATTCGAATTCTAATGTGCACTGAAATAATTCTATGGTGCGCATAAATATTCAATAAATTCTATTTGTGATTTAAGATTCTTACACAACGAATTGATTTCGCAAACAATCTGCACGGTGACGTAGAACTCCGTGTTTTCTCTTTCCTATTCAAGCACACTGTCCAAGCGTCTAACACGTTCATGCACAAGTGGGTTTTCTCTCCGAGGCTAAGCATCTCTCCTCGCTTGATTGAAACTTGATTGTATTTGAAAACAATCTCATCCCTAAAATTACAAAAAAAAAACAGTTTATTATTATTTATTTAAGTTCATAACATTAATAACACTTAAAGAATTTAACCATTTTTCTATTTAACCTCTTATCAGGAGTAGCTTGCATCACCCAGTTCCATATCACTCTCTCATTTGGGTTAGATTTGTCATTAGGGTCTAAAACTCTTAACATGAAAGGAGATTTGAATACTTGTGTAGCCTTTCCTTCCCTCTTTGGCCTCAAATAAGTTGTTTTCTCACCTAAAACCAATTCATGGTTTGCAGCATTGCTTTTTACATTTTGCTTCTGCAACTTCAATCATTTTCCAAAAATACTCATTGATTTTTAAAAAATTATATAATAATAATATATGATAACATTTACCAGATAATTACCTCAACAAGAACTTCTGTTTCCTTCTCCTTGTGTGTCACATTCCCCACAACAACTTGATGTTCACATTGTTCTTCAGGTTGCGCATCTTCATTTACTACTTTTTGTATTTGAGCACATAGTTCTGATATTGTTGGAAATGGGTTTTCTTTTTCTTGTTTCAGCCCAATTGAAAATGTTGGAATCTCTTCTATTCCTTTCTCGTACAAGGACTTCTTTTCATTTGCATTTTCAACCCTCTGAACTGCACTTATTGTCTCTGCCCAGAACTCACCATCTTCTATCTCTTGGGTACTTCTACCATCTGTTTCTTGTGTAGCATTCACCACTCTTTTCTTCTTCCCAACTCCAATTAAGTGTTGCGCAGCTTCTTGCATCTTCATGAACTTCTCTATTTCAATTAAGTTTGTTGGTGCTTGTTCACACATGTTCAGAACATCAATCACAGTTGCAGCCAAGAGATTTGTTTTCTGAGCGAATCTCTTCACAAATTCCTGGAATTTTTGATGCAATGTATAGTTAATTTAGTTGCTCATATTCTAAAAAACAGGTGCACAATTTATACATATTGAATCACACTATTATTACACGTTACCTCAGGATTATCACCATCAGTATATTGCACCTCAACTCTGTCTGCACTTCCTCCTTCCCCATGTGGTTTGTCCTTCTGCATACATTGTTCCGAAATGAATGGTCCTTCGCAGCGACCCATCCCAAAACCCCCACTTTCTATTTCCATCAGTTCTCTCTCCCGAAGAAGTTTCCCATTCCACAGTTTCATGATAGGTAAACTTCTATCCACCTTTCTTCTGTACATCACCACTCTGTCAACATAGAACAACTGCAACACCAATAATTGTTATTACACTTAAGATGCTATTAAAATAATATAACTATAATTAAAATAAGCACATTACGTTTGAACTTACCATTAAAAACAGCAAAGGGCCCGTAAAAGCTTTGTTTTTCTTCTTCTCCCATGACACTTTACTATCAATTAAACAATTCAGCACATGGTCACACCAATCAAAATCTTTTATCTTGTCAACATCTTCCAAATGATTCATAATCATTGGATTAACATACCCATTCTGAGTGCTCTCAAGCAGTAGTGATACCATAAGAACAATGAAGTTCCTCTTGAACCAATCACCTCCATCTTTCATGTTAAGCATTGCTGCACTAACATCTGTCGGGCTAATTTTTGACTCCTCTTTTGGAAACATTGCTTTCCATGCAAAAAGTAGTGCACTCTCTTCATTTCTCTTCGTTGCCACAATTTTCTGTCCCCCTAACGGTAAACCTAATACTCGAGCAACATCTTCCTCCATTATTTGCATCTCTTTTCCATCATGTAGCACTAATGAGCATTTTTTAGCATTGAAGTTATCAACCACCCAAAACCCCATTCTGCCTGGTATTTCAGAAACTTGCATTTCAAACAATGAACCAAAACCAATGTTCTTTACAGCTTGCTTCTGAGCACCAGTCATCCTACCCATTGCTTTAACAAGCAAATTAGGTGAAGACCTTGTACGTATTGTCAAATACTTTGACTTCACATCTTTGATGCTTTCCTTAATATTTTGCTTTCCCATTTTCTTCACAACCTCATTTTCACCACCACCTTGGCATGGTTGTATCTCGAAGTCGTCATCACTCTCTTGCCCTTGTGTTTGTTTTTTCAGTCTCTTCACTCTACCACCTTGGTAGTTTTCATTTGTTGTTGGTGGTGTTGCTCTTTTCCCTTTATCATTCCTCACAAGCTGCAATCTTGCTTCACTCGAACCTGTATTGTGTAATTCCACTTTATTGCATAAGGGGAAGCACTATAACATTGCTATGCATTTACCAAATAACTTTGTTTTCTAAGTACATGCACTTCAAACAATTAATACTGCACCATAAACTTTATCACTTTTTATATATACTGCATCTTGATCCAATTACAACTAAACTTTATCACATCATCAAACTCACTTTATATCATAAGTAAATGCACTTGACTCACTTTAACCCAATTGATATATGTGTACTGATTTGGCGTCCAAAATGCATTTTTTAGAATCAAGGAACAATATCTCAAAACACAAACTAAAAAAATTGTTTTAACAACTCACAATCATAATATTACATACTAAGTGCACAACCTCACACTCAATTTATAGCCAAATTACACATTCTCTCTAAGTGCATTTTATTCATATACATAATGCACTCTGTTTCAAAACATAACACATCCTCAAACTCACTTTATAGCCCAAGTACTATCATAATATCACCAGAAGACAACCTCTTTAATATTACCAGAAGACAACCTCAAACTCACTTTTTAGCCCAAGTACTATCATAATATTACATACTAAGTGCACAACCTCATAGTCACTTTATAACCCAAGTACACATTCTTTTTAAGACATGACCTTTACATATATTACATAACAACATGCACATCAACCAAATACAAACACACTTTAGCCCAATTGCTATATGTGCACTGATTTGGCGTCCAAAATGCAATTTTTAGATTCAAGGAACAATATCTCAAAACACAAACTAAAAAAACTGTTTTAACAACTCACAATCATAATATTACATACTAAGTGCACAACCTCAAACTCACTTTATAGCCAAATTACACATTCTTTCTAAGTGCATTTTATTCATATACATAATGCACTCTGTTTCAAAACATAACACATCCTCAATCTCACTTTATAGCCCAAGTACTATCATAATATTACCAGAAGACAACCTCTTTAATATTACCAGAAGACAACCTCAAAGTCACTTTCTAGCCTAAGTACTATAATAATATTACATACTAAGTGCACAACCTCATAGTCACTTTATAACCCAAGTACACATTCTTTTTAAGTGCATTTTATTCATATACATAATGCACTATGTATCAAAACAGAACACAACCCTCATTAATTTCAAACAGATTACTGTACTTCAGCACAACATGCACGCCAACAAAATCAAACTACACTTTCACATAGTCTTTACATTTGCAGTGATTTTTGAAGTTACATCAACACAAACCTCCCACAATAGTCAAACAACATGTAAAACAATGCACTTAACACTTCTACACACTCACTTCTTGTCATAACGACCAGAAATCACAACTTGTTCATTCTCCATAGATTGTTATGCACTTTTATTACACAAATTATCATTCTAGTAACCACAAAATTGAAAACATACATGATCAGACATTGTTTTCGCGTAATTTTTCAAATCAAATCTCACATTTTATGCTTTCAACCAAAATCGATGAATGCAACAAATAAAAATTTGTTTTTGTTATAAAAATTACCTTCTTCGTCGCCTTCCGTCCTTCTCATTGACGTCTCAGTTGTGTCTCCCTTCTTCGTTTTTGCTGCACTCATCTCTAGGGTTTTGGGAAGCTTTGGACTTTCTTTTTAGCTTTAGCAGTATATTTGTCGCAGAGGAGTTCTTTTGCAATAAGAGTTCTGCGCAAGGTGGAAGAGAAAAGCTCGATTTTCTCTCGCACGATTACCGGGATTTTCTTTCCATTTACTAAACCAGCCAAACCGCCACCCTATGTTCTTTGTCTTAAATGCCCTTTCATCATTAAAAAGCCTGACACGTGAGAAGCGCCGTGCTATTTTTAAAATCCCAAACCTTAATATAAGCCACACGATCGGTCTATCTCAATGGTAGGATTTTGTTCTTTTTTTCTCTCCTAAGAGGTCTATCTCACTTGAACTCACCCCTATATATATGTATATATATACATATATATATATATATACATCTATATATATATGTATGTATATGTATATATATATGTATATATATGTATATGTATATGTATATATACATATATATATATATATATATATGTATATGTATATATATGTATATGTATATGTATATATACATGTATATGTATATGTATATATACATATGTATATGTATATATACATATACATATATATCTGTATATGTATATGTATATATACATATATATATATGTATATATGTATATATACATATATATATGTATAGATGTATATATATATGTATATATATATACATATATATATATATACATCTATATATATATGTGTATATATATATGTATATATATATATATATACATATATATATATATATATATAGAGAATAAGGATCCAATGAGAAGAGTGCTTATCGTAAAAAGTGAGAATGCATCTGGTGCGTTCATTTTAAGATCTGTGCATCAGATTAGCAAAAAAGTGCACGAGAAAGTGCAAAAAATATTAAAAAAGTTATGCTAGACGCGGTGGCATATCCGTAATTAATCGGAACTTTTCTGCCATCGTAAAAAGTGCATCAGATTAGCGAAAAAGTGCATCAGAAAGAGACAAATGTGAAGCTTCTCACTTCTCACGTTAAGATGTCTTCTTATTAGAACCCAACCCTATATATAGATGTATATATATGTATGTATATATATACATATATAAACGAGAACCCATTTATGGATGAGAACTTCTAATCAACACCCTTGATTTATGGAATCAATGGCTAGAATTAATAAGGTGACACTTTTTTAATAACTCTACAATAATTTCAAAAAAGACCTCATTTGAACTTTCAATAATTACACAAAGTACCCCATGTGCATCCTACCAATGATTGAATTAAATAAAAGATTGTGATTAAAAGTTCTCATGATAACAAGTTCTCATTTTAAGATGAGTTCTCACTACTCACTAGAATCCTCCCATACACACACATATGGCATGTACATGGGTAGTATGAGAATATATTGAAATACATACATGTCTACTTATGAACCAAGTAGACATGAATATTTTAATTATGAATGTTCTTCTACTTTGATAAAAATGTAATTAAAAACATGAATATTTTAATTATGAATGATAATCATGGATAAGTTGAGCAAAATAAGTATATTTCATTTTTTCACTAAAGTAAAACTTATAATTCTTAATAAATTCCAACTTGACTTTAATGAAAACATGTTCACTTGGATCTTCCATATAGATTGACAGTTTTGTTATCACCGCCACGAGAATAGATCACAAACTGTCCTTATGACATTCAGAGCAAATTCAGATAGGTATAAGAACTAAATCTCAGACTTGAATCAATACTGAATCAAACTTAACTCAAATGCAACATAGATGGCTTTGAGTACACTTAGATATATAATAAAGTAATATTAAAATATTCCAATAGTTAATAGATTTTATCTGTATGTGTCACCCAACTCCAGTGTACAAATAAACAAAGAGTAGACATAAAAAGATCATTAATATAAGTAAATTTAACAAAAGTTATGTTAACTAATTTGCCAAAACAAGTTTCAAATAAATTAATGTAGCAGACAGTAGTTTCAGAGAAACACTTGAATTTCAAATACTCCTCATTACACATCTTAGAGGCCGTTTGGTAACCATATTTTTCGACTTATCAGGTTTGTTAGCCAAAATTTTCATTTAACACATAACTTTTTATTTCACGCGTTGAATTGTGTAATAATAAGAAAAAGTAAGGTTGTAGTTACTTTTCTGGTTGTATTGGTTGAAGTCACTGTAGACGACTATTTTAACTATTTTACATATAATTTCTTGTTTATTTTAATAATAAAATATGTTTTAAATATTTTTTTTCCACTTAAATGAAAAATATCAGACAATCCATCATTTTTGTCAGAACTTCATAAATTTCAGCAGAATCTACTGATTCCGCCGATTTTCGTATTACGAAATCGGCTCTTAAAGTGTTTACTTATTTGATAACTAATAAAACACCAACACAATACAAATACCTGTCTTTTGGAATAGAACAATATAGACCTAATATATAATAAAAAACAATTTACTTCATAGTAATTTTTTAAAGGAATTTACTCCATAGTATAATAACAAATGAAAAAAATCACATATTTATGACTCAAATAAAAATGATATACAAAAATTTGACCTCTTCTGTGTGTAATGACTAATATTTACTTTACTTAAGTGACTGAAACTATACTATATTAATCATAGTCACTTTATACACTTATGTGTGTAATAAAAATTTGACCTCTTCTGTGTTTAATCATAATAACTTATATTCACTTTATACACTTAAGTGACTATGAAACTATACTATATTAATCATTCGTTACGGAATGTAATTTTTTAAAATAAGATCTGTTTCAATGATATTTTTGGATTTTTTTTAGTATATTAACTTATGTTAATGCATTTCACTGCAGAAAATACCAATAATATTTAGAAAAAATAATCATCTTTTGAGAAAATATTAGTTCCACAATTAACTTTGTATGTCCCAAAATTAAAAACATAATTTTTAATTTTAGTGATGTCAAATTATTAGTTTTTCATTTTATTCGCTATATGAATTTGTATAATTTCAATTTGTATTAAATGGCAAATTATACCGCGGCCGGTATCGGTATACCATGTGCATGGTATACCGGTACCACATACGGTGCCGTTTCCCCCCTTTTGAAGCATTACATACGTTTCTTTTCTTTTCCCTCATGCCCTCCAGGTTTGTTTGGAGCACTATTTCTTCTCTTTATTTTTTTTTGTTTTCTCCAATTATTTTCACCTCTCCATCAAAATACTAAAAACTAATTGTGATTTTATTTATCTTTATCTTTAACTAATTAAATTAAAATTGAATTAACTTTTTTCTTTACCAATTTATTACTAAATTTCTTAGTCCACATAAAATAAGTACTACCAAATTTATTTTTGGTGTAATATTTTTTTCAATTATACACCTTTTTTGTAAAATAATTTTCATATTCATACACTTCCTTTATAATATATATTTTTTATCTCTTGTATGTGTTTGTAGTTTTCTTAAGACATTAAGTTCATTTATTTCGATTTAAATCAAAGAAAATATGAGATTACATTTTTCATATGTGTGAGTTATGTACTTATGTTACAATTTTTGCAGTTACATTTGATAGTATATGGAGTTACATCTTCCTGTCCACGAGTTACATCTGTTTATGGGTGAGTTACATCTTTTTATGCGTGAGTTACATTTGGATTTGCCTCAACAATTTATATTTTGCATACACCTATGTTAATTTTTCATCAACGCGAGTTAAGTTTTTCATAACATTAGTTACATCACAAAATAAACTCATGCTATTGAAACAAAAAAAATATTTTTCTTTTGTAAAAAAAGTTTTTTTGGCAAAAAATATCTTTTTGGGCAAAAATTATTTTTTTTGGATTCTTTCTTCTCTTTAAAACATTTTTATGGCCCTAATATTTAAAAAAAACATATTCGCTATTTACATACATTAATTGAAAAATATTAAACTCTTTGTTTTCATTGTTTACATTTAATATTATATGAAGTTACATCTTTTTATGCACGAGTTACATCTGTTTATGCATGAGTTACATCTTAATGTACGTGAGTTACACACTTACACTACTAAATTAACCCTGATTAATGATAAAAAAATGATTTTTTAACTATATCATTTTTATAGTCCTGATATTAAAAAAACTTATTCACTATTTACAAAAGTAATTGGTCAGGATCAATTTTACATTGAAACCAATGTTTATACTATATATATATATATGTGTGTGTGTGTGTGTGTGTGTGTGTCTATTCTAATTAACTATATCAATTTTATGGCCCTTATATTAAAAATAAAACATATTCGCTATTTACAAAAGTAATTGGGTAATCAGGATCAATTTTTCATTGTTTACATTGAAATCAATGTAGTTTTTTCTTATATTTCATTTTAGACAACTTACATTTCAAGTTGGCTCAAGTTACATTTCCTATCAACGTGAGTTATATTTTTCTGAACGGGAGTTACATCACTCTGCTACTGAAATACAAAAAAACGACATAGTGTTCATCCGTATTTTATCCCTGGGAGCATGATGTTCATAGTGGGCCGGTACTACGGTATATGAACTGGTATTAAATCAGTTCGTATACGGTGTAACCGGCGCACCTTGAGCATCATGCTCCACTCCAAAAAACGACGTAGTTTTGCACATTTTTTAAAAAAAATCGCGTAAACAGTACACACGTGTACAATAGTTTTTTTTTTGTCTCAGTAGCATGAATAATGTAACTCGCGTGTAAAGATATGTAACTCGCGTTATTGATCAATGTAATTCAAGTCCGTTCGAAATGTAACTTGTCATATACATTGCATAAGAAATAAAATATTGGTTTCAATGCAAACAATGAAAAATGAGAGTCTAATTGCACAATTGCTTTAGGTAAAATGGGAATATATTTTGTTTTTAATATCATGGCCATAAAAAATAATTTTTTAGAAAAGATCATTTTTTGTTTCAATAGCAGGGGTTGATTTTTTAATGTAACTCGTGTTATTATAAATGTAACTCGCGTAAATGGCAAATGTAACTTATGTGTAACTCGCGTAAAGTTTGCCTCTAAAACCACCATGGCTCATGACTCATGTTTTAAGATCAAATCTTGCATCACTTAGCTCGTTTGGTGGTTTAGAGTCAACCATTTCTATTTACGAGTTTTCTTTGCTTTGGAGGGGGTATGTGTTTGAGCCCGGTGAACAAAGAGGTATATCTCTTTTAGAGATGTTTCTTGGCACTTCTCGATTGTGTGTTTGGTTGTGGTCACCTTGGCACTTCCCGATTGTTGTTAAGAATGAGTTGGTAGATGCATGTGAATAGGTGTATAAGCTTGTTTAAAGGTTCTCGTTGATCACCCCTTTTGCTTGAGACTAGCTCGGAGTACACATTTTGACCACTTGAGCGTTTAGAGACACTTTCACACACTCACTCATTGCATGAAATGACGAAGGCATTAGTTCACCTCCACTAAATCCACATTTCCACCCCATCACTTGCATGTTCCCTTTAGGTAGGGCCAATCTGAGCTTGACCATTTCTTTCTCTATCCATTATTGCTCTACGACCATATTGCTTCGACTTGGAACCATGTTGGGTGTTTGAGTTTTCATTAGGTTCTGACAGGTCCACAAGCCTTTAACGCGCACTTTATCCTCACTCGTGCGCGCCCTGAGAAACTTCCCAGGGGGTCACCCATCCCAAGACTACTCCAGTGCAAGCACGCTTAACTTTGGAGTTCTTGGATGATGAGCTCCCTTAAAAGGAGATGCACCTCTGTTGGTATGAGTAGTACTATTATGCCTCTTAAATTAATCTCGGGTAATACAATCACCCCCACTTAGGATCGCAACGTCCTCGTTGCGCCCTTAAACCAATCTCAATCAAACCCCAGAATCTTGCCCAGCTAAGAGCCCGCCCGATATCCAACGGGTTAACGCACTGTCGCAGGGTTGCTCTGATACCACATGTAACACCCCGGCTCCCGCAGGGCCCGAGGTAGTTACTTCTGACCTCTATTACTGTCCTCACAAACATCCACAAGCCTTTAACGCGCACTTGTTGGAAAATTGAACAATGATTTTTTTTTGTGTTTGAGATATTATAAACATTGATTTCAATGTAAACAATGAAAAATTGATCATAATAGCTTAATTACTTTTTTAAAATAGTGAATATGCTTATTTTTAATTTTAGGACTATAAAAATGATATAGCAGGAGTTTATTTCGTGGTGTAACTCGCATACATTAAGATGTAACTGGCGTATATTAAGATGTAACTCGCGTACATTAAGATGTAGCTCGCGTGAAAAATCTCCAAAAAGTTCCCTTAGTACAATCGTCTATGCATCAACGTTTTCTATCAAATAAATCTCCTTGGTTATTCCATCAACAAAATCTGAACCTGTGAATCATCATCATACATCCATTTGCCTAACCCGATTCCCACCTCTATCTCATTCACCCTCATCCTTGTGGCGTGGTTTGGGAGGATTTTTCGGAGTAAGAGTCTGGTTACCGTTGTGGCGGTGATTCATCCTGCTGCAGTGGTGAAAGAGCGCAAATTAGAAGTAGAACAACGACGGAAACGAGGGCGGTCTATGGATGGGGAGCGAGTTCGAGAAGGGGCTCTCCTAGCTAGATCGGGCACTTTCAGGTTTATGGCCGCTGCTCTGTATATTTTCTTCGTATCCAATTGATTTAACGAAGCAAAACTACACCGTTTAGGGATTGACACACCATCTGCATGGTGGGCCGATCCCAGGGTATAATTTGCGGTATTAAATCATACACGTGTTATATTATAATTCTCTACGTAGTTAATCTATCACTCGTTAATGATTTAAATTGTAAAATATTACATTCAGGATGTTTTTAGTTGGTCGGTAATTTGCTGATCAGATTTGGTTTGGTCTGTTTAAGTCTGGTTTGGTCTGATGTGGTTTGTTTAAGTCTGCTCTAGTCTTGTTTGGTCTGATAAATGTGTGGTTATCTGTGTATCTTATAACTATGAAAGTATTGTCTGATATGACCTGGTTTAATCTAATATGTTTAAGTCTGGTCTGTATGAGTTGTTTAAGACGGACTGATCTGGTCTGGTATAGTCTAAAAAACCATCCACCTAAAAACATCATTGGAGATGCTAAAAAGATAAGAAGGGTCTCTAAACTCTAAAGAAACATTTTTTCCGTGCAAGGATACAATTTTCTGGAGACATGGAAAATGAAAATGTGAAGCTAATCGTGCACAGTAATTTCTATTCCATCTAGCTTGTGATTTCTTCTCCATCGCCGTTTTCCTCAGAACTCTCGTCTTACAGTTACTGTTTCGAGCTTCAATGGATCCATACCAAGAAGACCGTCTCAGGGAAGAAGTGATCTACCTCCACTCTCTCTGGCATCAAGGCCCACCGAGACCCCAAAACCCTATCGCATACCAGACTTCCCTTCGCCCCATAAATCCTACCCAATTCAAGAGAAGGGGAAACCCACCTCCTGCAAGACGCGGCAAATTCGAGACTGAATCTTCAGATTCCGGCATTGAATGGCCCTGCAAGCTCAAAACAGATAAACCGCCGGAAATTGATGCTGGTTGGCCCAAGGTATTGGTCCCGTCAAGTTCTGAGCGCCGCTCGTTAACAACCGAAGAACAGGCCCAATTGGCCTCCAATCAGGCACAAAAAGCTGCGTTGAAGGCTGTAAGTGATTTCCTCTGCAATGAAGACAGCTCTGATGACGAAGAAGCCGAGGATGAATGCATAGATGATGTCCAGGAAGGAGACATTGACAATACAGCAAAGGGAGAAGTGCGCGGAAGCTTAGATTTTTTTGTGAAATTGTTTGAGAATGACAGTGCATTGAGGGAATACTACGAGAAGAACTATGCGGGTGGGGAGTTCAGCTGTCTAGTGTGTTTTGCGGCCGGGAAGAGAAGTGTGAAGAAGTATAAGGACTGTCTGGCTTTAGTTCAACATTCTATTTCTGTAACCAAGACCAAGCGTAAGCAGGCTCATCGTGCATTCGGGCAGTCAGTTTGTAAGATTCTAGGATGGGACATCAATCGTCTGCCACCTAGTATTGCTTCATCACAACTAGAAAATAAACTAGGTCTTTCTTCCGATAGCCCTGTTGAGGGTCAGGTAATTGCATTACCTTATAGTCTATTACCAATAGCTAAATAATCTGAAGGTACTCAAATAACCAGTTAGATTTCAAATTCCTAGGTTGTACATATGTTATGATGGGCATTGTTGTTAAAAACTTGCCAAGTGTTCAAGTGATATATTATTTTGCTTTACAACCATTCATGTGTTTGATACAAGTCTTTTCACGTGGCAGCAGAATGATAATGCAGAGCCTGCCTCTAACAATAGCGGTGATGGTGGTGGTGATCGTATAATTAATGAAAAGTTAGAAGCTGATGATGGTCGATCTTCACTGCTCGAGGTTGGTTATGTACTTGTGTCACATTGTTACTGGTTTTGGTGAACATTTTGTAGTTTCAATGTTCCATAAGTGGTTATAGGTTTTCTTTGAGATCATATTTCTTTGTGTTGTATTATTATATTGCAGGGTAGCATTGACGACTGTCTTAGAGACGACTTCAATCTCCAAGAATTTATTATGGACATTGTGTATGGTAGTAATGGGGAAGTATCCACTCAAAACAAGTCCTTTAACAGTGACAACCCACAAGATAACACTGATAGCAGATCTCCATTTTTAGTGGTTAGTTACGTCTATCATTTTGTTCTTTAAAGTACTCAGTGTGCTGTACACGATTCTAGGTTAAATGTCTTTTTCCTAGTAGATCTAGCCATCTAGGGCTACATGCGGGAGTTTTGTGCTATAATATTTGCTTAGATGTTCTGTTTGGGCGTTGTTTCTTCTCATGTGCTTTTTTGAAATTCTCATGCTGTGTGTTGAGAAGAAAAATTGTTATTAATAGATATCATGCTTTGAGTACAAAGAGCTCCCATATATATATAGGTACAAAGTTTAGGAGTAAATGCTTAGGAGTAAATGCAAAAGTTAGCTCAATTAAACACGGAATGGTGGATAAGAAAGGACAAGATAATATCCAATTAATCTAAGGAAGGGAAAGAATTAAGAGATAGCAGTGGATGCAGCTACGGTTGCTGGATAGGCTTGTGGAAGCCTGGAAGGGTGTGATGGAGCCACAAAGGTATGAAACAGTTCACTTGTGAGATGCATGAATGAGTTTGATAGATGTCGTTACCTCTATGTATACAACAATGTATACATTTTGGTTGTTTTTAATACCACTGAGTGATAGGTTCTTTCATTTTCTAGAGGTTTTATTTGGAGAAATGGTGCTAAATAGGAGTTTAAGTTTCCGTATGTAATTAAATAAGACCTTGACTTTTTTAACTCCTAAATAGGATTAAAATTTTCCATGTTTCCAAAATTGCCCCTGTTTTCTATGCTAAATTTTCCTCTCACACCAAACCTTATTTCTTCCCAACGACCTCACCAAACCCTCTCTCTCCTTCATCCATAACTAAGCAGGGCAGCTTCAAGCCTTCAAGGTCCAGCGACGTACAAATTAATGGAGGAGTTGAGCTATAGTGGCGTTGTAGATGTGGCAAGACAGATCGAAAAGATCTGGCGTTGCAGCGGTACGATAGTCTGGCGGTCTGGCGATGCGGCCGTCTAGTGGTCCGGCGGTGCAGCGGTTTGGTGGGAGGCCCCGGAAAAGATCTTGCAGATCCGCTCCTTTTCCTCCTCTCCTCCTCTCTTTCTTTTCTCCTCTTCTTTTCCAATTCTTTTTCTTTGTCTTCTACTTGATTTTGTTTGGCAGATCCGTTTCTTCTTGGTTTTGTTTGACAGATTTGTTTTCTTCTTGTTTTTGTTTGGCGGATCCGTATTCATCTTGATTTTGTTTGGCTGCATAATGTTTTGTTTTTTACTTTTCTCCTTTTCGTTTTGCCTAGTAATGTTTTTTTCTAAGGAGCATTTCCTAATTTCCTTTTCAGAATTGTAATATAATGACACTGATTTTTAAACAATGACATGTATTACATTGTCATATAATGCCATTGATTTTTAAGCAATGATATTGATTTTCTAACAATGACTTTAAATTTTAAAGAATGTCCCTGGTTTTTTATTTCTACAATGAAAAAACAGTAGCTACTAACATAGTTACAACCCTATCATGAAACTCATATTAGCAGCTACTAACATAGTTACATTACATTCATATGATCTCTTTTAATTGCCATTCATCCAATGGCAGTCATTCTGTAGCTTATACATCAATATTAAAGTTAACATTATAAAAATTCGACATGAGAGGAAGGGCTTAAAAAGCAATGCTTAAAATGTCATTAGTTTTAACAATGTCATTTTCATAATGATGATTGACATTCTTATGACATTGTCATTGACATTCTGATAACATTGTCATTGACATTGTCGTCATTTTAATGTCATTTTTATAACATTGACACCATTACTATACGAAATTGGCTTTGTCTTGCAAATAAAGTGTAAAGTGATGAATGTGAATTGGCTTTGTCTTGCAAAAGTTGCACCTGCTGAAAATAAAAATGTCATTAGTTTTAACAATTTCATTTTCATAATGATGATTGACATTCTTATGATATTGTCATTAACATTCTGATGGCATTGCCATTGACATTCTAATGACATTGTCATTGACATTCTAATGACATTGTCATTGACATTGTCGTCATTTTAATGTCATTTTTATAACATTGACACCATTACTATACGAAATTGTGACATTTTTTATCATTTTGACGTTTTAAATGCAATAATGTATTATAATATATTATAATATCAGGAAAAATGAAACAATGTCAAATAATGACAATTACAATGTCAACATCAACACTTGTACAAAATGACATTGCAAAAATGACAATGTCAAAGATTTAAAAAATGAAATTGTGATAATGACAATGTCAATTTCAATGCTGCAAAAACAACATTGTGATGACATTGTCGAGAAGTAACATTGTTTTCGATAATGCCATTGAGATATGTGACTATGTCATATTATTTTAAAAGAATCAATGTTGGAAACTATCAAAATGTCATAAAATTATTATAATATCAAAGAATGAAACTGTCAATGCTATAAAAATGACATTGTAATATGACAATGTCAATGCAACTAACAAAAACATTTTATTAATAACATTGTCAATCATGAAAGGTCAAATCATGAAAGGTCAAATTTGCTTGGACCATACGGATATCTTTTTAGAAAAGGCAGGTGGAGATGGGGGTCGCAGCAGAGCGAGGATGGGCATACAAGCCAGCTTCCGATGGGAGATCGTCTGCGCCCCTAAATGTATTTGTCCTGACCTTCAAACCTCCATTAATGGCAGAAATCAAGGATTCTCCGCTGGAAAATCTTCCAAGTCTCGTCGACGGATGTTGAGGCCTGAGCTACTACTTACCGCGCAGAGGAGTGAACACCGGTTGGCAGCCGGCGACGGGCGACGGTGCCGCGTTCCAGGCGGAGGGAGTCCAGCTTCGAGCAATGAACGACGCTGCTGTACGGAGGTGGAGGTCAAAGCGAGCTGTTGGTGCCTTTGTTCGTCGGGATCTGGTCTCCCCTACCGCCTCTTTCTTTTAAATCCGCGATTGCAATTTAGGAATTGGGGTTATTTTTGTCCGTTCAGTCAAAAATAGGTCTTATTTAGGGTTTAAAAACTTAGAGGTCTTATCCGCATACAAAGCCTATGTTTTAGTCCTATTAGAGTCTTTTTCCCTTTTATTTGTTGGTTATGTGTTTATCCTGTATATGTATTTATTGATCTGTTGGGGTCATAGTTGTACTGTGAATTTTATTACTTGAAACAGACAAACAGTATTATTTAAGTTGCTTGGAAAATATTAGCGTAATTGTTTATCAATTGAAATGAAATGATTTGAATTTACTTGAAAACATTAGCATAACTTTCTGCACCTTGACAAGATCTGCTCACCATACATGCAGGAACCTGCAAAGGAGGAGGAGGCTGGTGTGAATAAAACTGATTAGGATGATGCCGTTTCGAATCTAAATATATGCTGCAATCGTCCGCGGGATTAGAAGTATCTGCCTTCTGCTGTAATCTTAACCTGAATATGCTGCAATATTACTTGACGTTTGTCAGACCTCTCTTTAGCAAGAGTGTAATCTTAGACTTCTTATCTAGTTACATGTTCATTGTTGATAAAGTAGAAGAATCCTTACACACAATTTTGTTATGAATTGTTAATAAAGTAGAAGAATCCCTAACCACAAGTTTTGTCATTCAGTCCTTGAATTAATTCCACTCTGGGGGGGTGTACATTATTTTCGTCAATCCCACATTTGATTTGTGTCTTTGACTCCGTCCACTTTTGGTGTATTATTATATTGTTTTTGCTCATTAGTGGTTCTTCCAAAGACGATAGTCATGTACTAAAAATGGGCAATTCCAAAGACGTGGACCAACTATGAGATTGATATAATACTCTAGGACCAAAAGTGAAATTTATTATGTCTTTAAAGTATTGATGGACTCGGGCCGAGTCGGGCCCGGTCGGGCCGCCGGTTTGTATGACATGGGCCCGGGACCGGCCCGAGGGTTGGACGGGTCCGGTTCGGGCCGGGCCACCCGCCCGGGTCACGTGTCGGGTCCGGTTCGGGCCGGGCCGGTTAATTTTTTTTTTATAATTTATATTTTATAGTTTATAGTTTTATACGAGTATTAAAAACAAACTTCAAGTGCATTTATTTGAAATGAAATAGGAACTACATTTGAAAATTAAAACAAACTTTAAGAGACAAACATTTTGAAAATTGTAATCAATCGAAACTTCCTGCACCTCCTGATCCTTTAGCTTTGTCACATGACTTCATATGCTTGATTGTCATCCCGTATCCGCCTGAAATCCTCATGCTACATTTTTTCTCGCACCATTTGCAAATTGCGTACCACATCCCGGTCTTCGAGTCCTTCTGCTTATCAAAATTATACCGTATAATGACATCTTGATTTTCCATCTTAACTTCTTAAGTATAAACTATAAAGTAGATATATAAATAATAAATACTCCCTCCGTCCCATAATTAATTTCGGTTTTGACTGGGTACGGGGATTAAGATAGTGAGATTTGTGTGGTGGAGAGTTGTGCAGAGGAGAGAGAAATGTGTAAGAATGGTTGTGAACCACATATTCTTTAGCAAAAAGGGAAAGAGGAGATAAATTTAGGACGGACCGAAAAGGAAAGAATGAAGATAATTTCGGGACAGAGGGAGTATAATATATTGGAGAATAAGAGAATTAGAGAGTAGAGAGTTAAGAATAGGATTTAGGAAGAATTGGAGAAGAGATATGAAAAAATGTTTAAGATTAGGAGTATTTATAGGTTTTTTTACCCCCCACCCCCCACCACCACCACCCACCACCCCCCCCCCCCCACCACCAAACCCCCCCGGACCGAACCGAATCCAACCCTACTTTAAAGCTTCTTAGAAAAAACAATGTGCATCGGAACACAAGTAAAAGATCAAACCCTTACATAAGTAATATGAAACTCTTTCTTTCCTAAACAATTTGTAATAATTTGAGTTGATGACATGAGGGTACACTTACAACACTCATGTAGCCTGATCCCAATGTAGATATAATCAGAGATGGGAGCTTTTTGGATGCTTCTGAGACTGGTATTGTGCTCTACGGCAGCAGAGCAAATGCAGGCACACATGAAGGAAATAAATTGTTATTTTAAAAAAATCTATTCCCTCACGAGGGAATTTGTTACGTAAGAAAGCTGTTAATGTATATTGTTAGTATGTAGCTGTATGGGCCGGCCGAATACCCTCTAGGATTCGTAGCTACGTCTTGTGTAAGCTTTATCAATACTCCTTTGTAATCTTATTGTTACATACTGAAATATACTGTCATTGTTGTTGCCTGAATAACTTCATTGGGTATAAGATGTAAGTGGTAGTAATATTCATGAGGCACCACCACCTAGGGATGGACCGGTTCCGGTTCGGGCCCGGCCGGGCCTCGGTTCATGAAGGGGAGGCCTGGAACCGGCCCGGGTAACCTCCGGGTCCGGGCCGGGCCTCGGTTCTATTTTTTTTTTTGGCTTTTCCTAGTTAACCCCCAAACCCTCCCCCTCACCCCAAACCAACCCTAACCATCTCAAATGACCCAAAATACCCAGCCCAACCCAAAAACTTAAAAAAAAAATCAAAAAAAAAAAAGGCTTGGCCCTGGCCCGAACCGGCCGGGCCGGTTCACCTTTTGAAGGGCCCGAGCCCGAACCGACATCCCACCGGGCTGGGTGGCCTGAACCGGCCAACCAACCGGTTCACCGGGCTGGTCCGGGCCCACACAATAGCGGACCGGTCCGGTTCCGGGCCGGTTGGCCAGGCCCGAGTCCACCCCTACCACCACCCACATGATGGTGTCTTTGAGAATTGTTGCGGCAATTCTTATTGGGCTACTCATGGCCCATGCTCACCTCTAATACTCGTCTTTCCAAGTCCTTTCATTCATCTTCTCTCTACTTCCTCTACCCACTTCTCAATTCGTCTGAGTTGTGCATCACTAGGTGGACAGTCTTCCTCTTCTTCAATTGATTGAGGAATAATTAGCACCACCCTTGGCCCAGTGGCATCTCGGCCTCATAAGAGGCATGACATGCCTTGGCTTAAGTGAGGGACAACCTACCCTTGGTCAAACTCAAACATACATGGAGTGGGAGGTCAAAGTAAGCCGACAACATATCTAAAGCTTCACCGTGACCTAGAGGCCTCAACCTTGATCATCCAGTGGGGAATAAAATCCTCATTTTGACCCCCTGGTCAAAGGCCCTACCATATGTGGGATACAAATAAAAAAGAAGAGCAGGCCTTTCAGCCAAACAACCACGAAGCACAACCCATCAGTCAAACAACACGAAAGAACACGCAAGGGCCTCTTCCACGATATTGCCGCAACTCCAATTAAGTCGAGACTCTGTATTGCCTGCTAGCAACAAACATGAAAACAATGGCCACAAGCCACTCTAGTGGTACCAAGCACCGAGGGTTGCACCTCCTCTCTCTCCAACAACTATAGCTGAGGGCCCACCCATTGGTAGCTTGGGCCGAGGCCCCTCTCCCTCTCGATCGATGGCAATTACTGACGGTCCTCATCCCGCCCACGACTACACGTCACGATCCGGACTGCGTCCGTATCTCGTTGACAACCATCATACAACCCAACAAGGATAATCACAGTCATCCTTAGTTAATTGTACAAGGTGTTCGAAGGATTCATACACCAATACAGTCGGTAAACACATAATCAACATCAATATTTAAAGTCAAACAAAGTGCAAAATATAATTTTTTGATAACAAGTCACACGAGTCCATAGTACCCCGAGTCCCAAATCTGGACTCGATTTAGAAAACTTGATATCACAAACAACGAAGTAGTGCAACTGTAAAGTATATCAACTTCGAAGTATGACAAACCTTGAAGTAAAAGGTTTTATATATTATGAGGTTTGCGATACTTTTGAATTTTCTCAACGTTTCAGTTTTGTCAACTTTTAGGTTTTCGGTATATGTCACACACGTTTTTCAGTATGATATTAATATTAATGTAATTTTTAATTGGCTAGGCCAAATCCAGATATTCCCGTGGATTTGGATGCGTCTCTAAGAGATCTAAAACTCTTATGAAGACAACAAGTCCAGATTATGGACGCATTAAAAGATATTAGACATTTTCTCAACTGGTGTGTTAGGTGTGCGGTATACATCACACAAGTTTCGGTACGAGATTAAAATTGTCATAACTTCTAATTCACTAGGTGAAATCCAAATTGTTCGAGTCTCTTTGGATGTGTCTCTAAGAGATCTAAAGTTAGTATGAAGATCATAAGTCCATTATATGAACGTAGTAAACGATAGTGGACCTTTTCTCAACTGATGTGTTAGGTTTCGGGATATATCGCGAGGTTTGCGGTATACCTCAACAAAAGTTTTTTGGAACACCCCTTTTAGGGGTTTTCGGTACTGCGATTTTCGATACATCTCCCTTCTTCGTCTCATCCATAAAAGAATACCCCAAAACGACCCCAAATCAGTCCATTACATCCCAAATTCGCAAAACACATCCAGGGACATTTTAACATAAGAAAAATCATACTTGTATGTTTATGATCACATGTAATTATACACGAGAGCAAAGAGTTACAAAGCATAGAGTCATCATCTCACCTAAATATGGCATTAATCCCAGTACCTTCTTGTTGTGTTTCCTCCTCCTTGAAGCTTGATCTTAGATTCAACAATCTTTCCAAGCTTTGAACGAGTGAAAACTATGAAGAGGAGAAGAAGTTGTTGTAGAAGAAGGCTGTTGTGCCTTTCTCATGTCTGTTGCGCCAATAACGAGTAAGTTTGTGTTTTCATCTTAGACTCCTTAGCCTTTAATAGGTCTATTAAATGAGCTTTGGCCCCTAATGCTTCCTTTACTTTTCCAACCTTGCAATTATATCTCTCTTAGTTAAAAACACTTCATTGGTTAGAAACGAATTAATTCTACCAACATAAAATATTATCTTGTCCCAAATTAATTTAATATGCGACCATGGAACACACTAGGTGGTCCTCACACCTAAGTGGGTTCCACAATTCAAATAATACTGCTAAATTAATCGCTATTACCAATATCTTATTCATCGTATTCTCAACATATTTATTTAGCGAAAAAATTACATCTGGGGGACGGTGTCACACTGCAAGTCTGCAATCGAGGCTTTCATGTATCGGCCATGACCCCAACAATCTCCTCGTCCTCAGGGAACCATTCATTGCAAACCGGCAATCCAGTGCCTCTCATCTGGGCTCACAGCAAGGCAATGCATACTTGCCCGGCTGCTCCACCATAGCAATGAAGCGGCAAAGGCTCATGGCGGGTGATGACGGTGATGACACCCTCATCACCCTTAGTACTTAGTTGTGGATGACAAGTACACCGCCCCCTCTCCTCTCTCTCTCTCTCACGATTGAAGCGGTGATGGTGACCATCAACGTTGGAGTTTTAGAATGTCACTCAAATTATGAAGTTAGGCCAATGGTATATATACGATCCAGAATTGCCTTTTGGCTGGCCACAATCCTGATAGAACTAGGCAAATCCGACTCACAAAAGTAGAGAATTAGGGAGAATTGATCAAGAAACTGATCAAGAAATCTTATTGATGTGAAGAGTGGTTTACAAAAGGGGGACAATTCGAGATGCCCAGTCTGCAAATCTATTCTCAACTCAAAATAACTGCCTACCTTTTACTCCTCCACTCCCCTTCTATTTATACTACTACATGTACACTTACTATTTTTTTCTATTATTAGCCCACTAAGCCAGATTCCTATCAATACC